GCAGAGTAATAGGTTAATAAGAAATATCAGATTACACTGGAACAAGCTCATGGGTCAAAAACTAGACAAAACATATCAAACTGAAAATAAGTGCTTGGTTGTCAGACACTGAAAGAGCTCCTATACAATAACTGCATTGTTTTAATGAAACATTAAAAACATCAGTTCTGAGCCAAAATGTCCAAAAGAGGAAAGCATTCAAGTAACCAACAAAATTCACAAGCCAAACAGTAAATAAATCAGGATTGAATACAGCATTGCAATTTCCTAATGTTTTCCAAGCAATGCTGTGCAGTCTTGCCTTGTACAAGTATCAGTTCAGTCCTTACAGAAATTCCCTCTACTTTTCTGAAATTAAGGCAAAAAAGAAAAAAAATTCTATCTATGGTACAGATTAAGTGAAAAAAAACAAGTGGCATTGAGCTGAGGGCTGTGTTAAGTTAGTATAGGTTTTTTTAAACAGTGCCTTTAAGGAAGCACCCTAAGAATAAATCCAATTCACCTGCAAAACAGAACACAGAGTCAAAGCAGCCAGCCTGGTAAAGCATTAAAGCCACTGCCTAATTGTAAGCATGCAAATACCCACATTATTAGGGCAAACAGAACTGGTCCCGTGGCTAAAGCAAGTAATTTGCTTAAATTCAGCAGACTGGAGTTCAAGACTTTACTGCAATGCTCAGGAAGGCTGGTAACTCCTGGTGCCAGGGCAGCAGGAGGCCACTGCACTAGTGCAAGCAGCACAGCTGCACAGGCAGGGCATGGCAGCAAGCAGTTTTCTGCCCCAGCACTGCAGCACTCGGCCTGACATATGGACTTGGTGTGCTGTGATCTCAGACAGCTCCTCCGTCAGGCTGCGAGGCACAGGGCCCGTGGAGCAGCAGGAGGAGCAGTCCGGAACAAGCCTTCACACAGGCATTCATCACAATGCAGCAAGACAAGGCACTGGGTGGACTCCTGCAACATTTCCAGCATTCACTTGATGATTTCTTTCTAACTCTGGAATTGAAATTACAGGAGGTACTGTATGATCCACCAGAGGTCCAGCAAGGCAGATTTTGTGAACTGCAACACCAAAGCTCTCCAATGGGAGCACAGAACTAATGGTAATGAGTTTATCAATGGATACCACTCTTAAGAAAAACATTCTTTGCATAACTTAATAGAAACCTGAGTGTGCATGCAGCAACCTTCAAAACAACCTAAATCCATGCTCTGACATGGTAAGGAATAAGGTGCTTTGTTTCCAGAGAAGTGGCACAAACGTGCACAAGACCTGACAACACAGCCCCGTTAGCCAGATGGTCCAGGACACTGGCCTCTACTCCAGCTGCACAGTCATGACATAAACATTATTTATTTGCTGTGGTTATTACCTTGCCAAAGCAGATCAGCCTGAGGTTATCAAATCTAACCAAACACAAAACTAAGCTTACTTTATGCTCTAGCACAAACTTTTTTTATTCATAGAGCCTTTTTGTGAATTAACATCTCCATTAGCAGTTTTCTTTAGCAGTTTTTGTCCCTCTGGATATTAGTCTAGCAGTAAATGTAGCAGTCAAACAAATGATGAAAAGGAACAATTCTAGTAAACTCCATGCAGTTTGTTTGAGACACACAAAATGAAACACAAAGGAGAAAAAAACCAAAAGCTGGCAAAAATAAATTCAACACAAAGCAAGAGTGGTTCCACTGGGAATTAAAGTGCACCAAAGATTTTTCTTATTACATTTCCTTCCTTTTACATTGTAGTCATTACAAATTATAATCTTCTTTTTAATTTTTGATCACATGTATTTTAAAATAAGTTTTCATTTGGTCCAGTACATGTATTGTCCTGGAGCAAATTTTAATGGCTTAGTTATAAATCCTGAAATTTAGGGGTTTATAATGGAAATGCTTGCAGGTCCATATCTAACACAATGCAAGCATCTCAGCAATACAGAGCTTGTAGTCAGGTGAGTGCAGCAGAAATCTTTATGGCATTAAGTAATGACAGGAACTCAGCAGAAGTAGCTAACATGTAAACCATGGCCCATGCTGGCTCAGTGCTTGAGACTACAGAGCAGCTGGTACCTTCCAAAGGGCACTGTTAGTCTGAGCCTCCGAACTTCTACTGCATTGTTCAGGTTAACATGTAAGCTCCCCTTCCAGGTCACCTTTCCCACTTTCTTTCCCTTGCATCTAGGTTTACACCAGACTCTTCAACACACAGTCTGCACAACATATGATTTAAAAGTTTTTCACACTCAATAGCCATATTAACATAGATCCTGCTCCTGGGTGTGTCACTTATTTTTGGGAGCTGCTGAAATAATGGCATTTTCTTTGTTTCTTCACTACTGTATACTTTACATAAAAGCTATAACTCGCAGCTTTCTATCTGTTTATGATCCAAGTTCTGAGTGCTTCAGAAGACAGCACAGATACTGAGAAAATACTGGTCTGTATATCACACCTCACATAGGTATCAATAAAACTTTACCCTGCAAACTTTGTTAACTCATGAGTTACCCAGAAGGACAGAAGCACTGATATTAGACATGATTATGAGGTGACATTGGTATGATAGGCAGATGTTGCTCTGCAATGACATCAGTCTTCTGAGAAGAACAGCAGGGACCATTCTGTCCTTTTGTTATTTTTAAGGGTACCTTACCTTGTTTAACGGAGCATTCAAATGCAAATCACAACATTTAACAATACCACAGCCCTTTGCAAAAAAAAAGAGGCACTGAATCGGTAAAAGCTGCATGTTTTGTAGGAGTGGTGTCTTATAGCAACTGATGATGTTCCTGTAGTAATACTCATTCCAGCATTAAAGAACAAAAGATGCAAATGTGATGCAAGCTCCAGCTTTCATGCAAATTGTCCCTGTAACCAAAATTCATTATCACGACAATCACATCTGCAAGAAGCAAAACTTTTAAAACACTGCAAGAGTAAAACTTACATTTTAGTCCTATTATTTGTTTTGCTACATGCTCCACTAAGTCTCTAGACTAAGAGGAAATTTTTCATATCAAAGAAGGAATTGAATTTTTTATCCCTTTGAAAGCCAGCTCTGCATCTCTGCAAAGCCCTTGTGTCTCTGTTAAGCATGAAGGTAGATTAGAAACCCAAACTGGAGATCCTGGTGACTTCCTTAAATACAAAGACTAACAATGCTAACACTTACCCACTGAAAACAAAGTTAACTGTCATTGTCCTAAAAAAGAAAGCCTTGGGCCCCAGGATGTGTACTACATTAGCATCTCCTTCCATTACTAGGAGATAATTCCAGTGACACAACTTTGTAGTCATTCATTAGACTTGAAGTCTTTCCAGCTCTTCGGAGTTTGATGACCCTGCTATGCAGTAACACTCCCCATAGGTGAAACATGTAGTTAAGAACTAATACTACCATTAAAGAAAGAAAATTACTTGACAACATGGAAGATCAGTGTCAGAATTAGGCAAAAACATCTTGAAGGCTTTCATTTTAGCCCTCTAAATCTAAATGTTTACCAATAACATTCAAGCTAGCCCAAACAGTCAGAGATGAATGTTTGAGCAGAAACCCCTGAAACATCAAAGAATATGTGTTTAACTGTGCATCTGCTTGAAAAGTTGGGCCAATGTGGAAAATCCTATTATCGATTAAAAAAAAAAATACAATGGGGACCTCTTCAGCTAATGTGAACCACTGTAATTCTATTGACAGCAACGGATCTGTGCTGACTTACACCAGCTGAGGATCTAATTTCATATGCCTTAGAAAACTGATGCAACCTTTTCTATTGTGGCTCAAGGGTTTTCATACTGTCATGGGGATCAACTCCACCTAGTAGGTCAGCAGGTGTTGAGTCTGCTTTGAATCTGAAGTCCAGTCACACAGGAGGATACTGGGACATGTGCCATCTAATTTTTACTGACCCATGGACATTCCCCTCTAGAGTGGCTGTAGGATTCATGTATTTTCTTCTGTAGTCTAGTGGGACATAACCTGTTTCTTTGAGAAAGCAGAAACCTTTATTCAAGATATCAAAGTGAGAACTTGACCTGGACCACAAGCCCAGATAAGTGAGCATGATGGAAACAGAAAGTGTGAACAGAAAATGTTTTGCCAGAAATACACCAGGACTACAAAATATACAGAAAGGCATTTTCTACTTTTTGCCATAACTAGACTGATTTGTAAAAAACAGCAGTTTAAGCAGTTACTCTGCAGCTATCCAAAATCTATAGGTCTGCCCACACCATTTCAAGCAATTTTCTTTCCTAATGCAACAGGAGTTTTGCATTAGTAGGAACTAATATGCTCAGCCCTCTTACACCAAACAATGAAAAGGTCTAGGGCTGGGATTAGCTCATACTCTTCTGAGAGGCAGGGAATATGCAAAATTGTCAACTGAGATATACTCTCTGGGGAGAATTAAGCAAACTACTACAGTTTTGCAAATTTACAAGCTGTACATTCACAACTTTGAAATTAATCCACCAGAGGATACATACTTAGCTTGATGTTTTGTTCTGGGCATTAACAAACTTTGGGGAGGTGGAACAGCCCTTTCCGAGAAGGAACCTTATTTGTAAAAGAAAAGGGAAAAAAAACCCTTTGCCATTAATTTTGACAGACCTACTTCTGTCTCTATAGTAATAACTAATTACCTAACTAGTGTAAGAGATTTCAATGGCCAAATGCAAAGCACTTGCAAGCCCTGCCAGGCTAATCAAGACAATTTCCAAAACGTCAAAACCAGGAACTTCCTATAATAAATAACTTAGCACATTTACATCTCAAATTAGAACATCTGGAAGAAAGAGACTATGCCTGATGCCAAAACAGGCCTTATTGTGTCCTACCACTTTCCACCACCACCACCACCCCTCCTCCGTTCGTTTTCTTTAGCCTTTCTTTAGAACAAACACTGATCCAGGTGCAAATGCTCAATTCACAAGGAATGCAGAGAACATAAAATTACTGTAGGTTTGGCTGCTAGTAAATCCCTGCTGTTACTCACCATTGGAAGTTGTGCTGGAGGCAACAGCTTTCTCACTGACATCTGTTCGACTGGAGCATTTCACGATGGAATTCTCCACTTTTTTCTTCTCAGTTGTGGCAGAGCTATGGGACTGCGCCTCCATGATGACTTCTCATTACTTCAGCTCTCCTTGCACTAATACCTGAATGAAACAAGAGTCATAAACTCTAAATACTGTTTGAAAGCTTAACCCAAGTCTTCTCACCCCTCTCACCTGAAGAAGAGCCGAGCACAACTGAATTAGCAGTTCACAGTTCTGTAAGCTCATCAAATCATGTTTGCATGCATGAATTCCTGAGGAATTTAAAGAAATACTGACACCAAAACCAAGCATGTTTGCCTTTAAAGAGAATCAGCATCAAAAACCACTATGCTGTTTGATGGGTAGGTCCATTTTTTTCAATTTTGTGGGGTTTTAATGGATCCAAAGGGAAAAAAGGACAGTATTTTTCTCTTCTGCCCAGAGCACTTCGGAACAAGGCAAAAAAAGAAAAGAAATCAAGAAAATCAAGACAGACCTTCATGCTGACTCTAGAAGCCAAATATTTAAATTTCAACATTCATGGTGTTGGAACACACTGCAGTAGGAATTATCCTATCTCTACACCTTGTTACTCATGTAAGCATCTCTCACTTTGTTTGTTCAGAAATCTATCTCAAACAAAATTGTATTGGCGAAACACCCCGAAAACCACAGGGAAAGACAAATATTATTGCTGGTGGCAGATAATTAGATCACTTTCTTTTCCATGAGAATGCTGGAAATAGAAAGTTCTGTAGAGGTGTGTGTCTGGTTATTTTGCCTTTCCTGGATGTTCTCAGTGTCATCTCCAGTGATATATTCATTTAATACCCCACAAATCATTTCTCCCTCTTCTCAGGTATTTTACATTCCTGATGGAAATATGAGAAGCCCAAAAACTTGAAAAGGGTATTGCTGCTTGTGCAGCAGTGCAGGCACACCAGGCCCCAAGACTGCAGGGATCTTAGGCTGTGAAGGTCACAAACATTAAGAACCAGTCTGCAGCTTAAATTGATGCACACCTGTCTGTCCGAGTAAGCTTTACATAAATCATCAATATTCAGCACACAACCTGCTTAGAACCAAATACCTTGGTACTTTTGTAGCTTGAATATGAATCTATGCAACAACAACAAAAAATAATAATTAGTTTTCTGCTCTGGGCAACACTGCTTGGTAGTCAAATGGGTCTAAAATGGAAGGAAGTCACACTCTTCTAGGACACCATTTAAACAAAATTTTCAAAGGGCTTCAAAAAGCCACAAAGTATAATGAGTGTAATTATATCAGCAACCTGTTTCCCAAATTCTGACAGTCAAAAAAAAAAAGAGAAGAAACAGCACCAAACCAAAAAAAAAGGCTACAAAGCCAATTCATCACAAACACAGCTGTCTAATAAACCTTCCCCTTCCCACCTTCCTAGTAGGAGTTCTTTTTAATAGTACAATAAAACACTCCAAAGCCTCATTGTTATACAGTAGGGATCAAAGTAGAGCCCAATCACTAAATGAATCATTATTTAGCTAGGCAGAACAGCCAAGGAACTGAGCTAGATATCAGAGAGTCTCTGCCACTGACCTACTGTCTAAACTTTCTCAAGGCATTTTTCTTCCCTTCAGTTTCTTGCTTGCTAAGAACAGGAATAACAAAGCTCTGCCCGACACAGAAGAGGACTTGTAAGGCTGCTCTCGAGATCTATCTGTGAAAGTGCTATAAATATTGTGATCTGTGAAACAACTTCCTACCAGAACACTAAGGGGAATGTCAGGTGTCTTCAAACAGAGTAGGAGAGATCTAACAATACTCAACTTCCAACAGCCCTGACTTCTACCCAGCAATGCACAAGTCTCCTTGAAGAGAGATCTCACATGAGCTTTGTAAACAGCACCTTCCCAAATTTCTCACAGGACTTCTCCCTCTTTCCCTTTGCACACCTCATGCAACGGCATCCCCAGTTTAATAATTTAGCTCAAATATCTAGCTTTGCAGTCTCTTGCATTAGTAGAGAGGGGGAAGGCTGACACTGCTGCCAAGCTGTTCACCCCACACTGAGAGGAAGATGTTTGTTTTCTCTATACAGCCCTGGCCACATAAACACCAAAAAGCTGCCTCTACTCAGCGTCTAGCTACCGCGTGAGTGAGTCCTTCAATGTACCCTCCTATCCTCTGACTAACCATCTTTGAGTTATTTAACATTCTCTCAAATTAATTATTTTCTATGTATCTCTGAAGGAACTAAAATGCTATACATCTTCAGTTGTGGTTATTTTTCTTCTTGGCCTTCTAAGGCCCAAGACTACTATTGAGGCAGCATCTTCATTTACATCAAAGAGTACGACTTTGAAGACTTGCAAGATAAAGCTGCAGAATTCATCCCCCTTTTTGTTTGGTCCTTGGTTCACAAGTATATTGATTTTGACTTAAAATCAAGAAAAGAAGCAATTATACTCCCTATCCAACTAGAAAGGAAGAAGCCACATACTCTGCCTCCACAAGGCCAGCAGAGTGGCATGAAACATTTGGGAAGAGATCACAGAAATGATGACAGGTGTGTACAGTGGTTCCACTGCCTCCTGCCACACAGATGTCTATGCATGTATGTGGAAGGAGCCCTCACTTACCCCACCTCCTCACTTATCTCCACCTTCTTCCCCTCTCCATCACGACAGGACCTCCATTACAAACTAATCCTACCACTTCTCAGAAAAGGAAGGTAGTGCAGGTACTTTAAGGAGTTACCATGTCCTTAATCTCATAAAAAGCATCTTTGGGTCATCTGCAATTCAAGAGCAACATGTGGCTGGTCAAACTGACATCATCCATTCTCTTGGCTACTTTATTTCTTTCCCCAACAGCCTGCCAATGAGATTTTTCTGGTGCTTTGGGGTCATCTTCTTTACTGGAAGAAAGAATAGCAGGCAGAATTCCATATTGTTCATCAATCTCTATCACTTCTCTGTTTTATGCTACCTGTGAACCGCAATACAGAACAGAGGCCTAAAGCAGCACTTAAATTTTTGGACAGAAAATTGCAGAACTGGCCAAGAAGTAATATAAACATCTGCTCTTGGTTCATCTGTTCTGGTTCATGTCTACTCAGTTTACCTTCAGAAGGCTGCTTTTATTCATGTCAGAATGAAACAGAGAACACCACTAGAGTAAACTTTTTTACTCAGCTCTGCACCCTGCACCACAAGCCAATGGCCCTGCAGCTGCTCCTGCGCCTTTCCTCCTTTCCTCCCGACACACACACACACACACACACGGCATGCACACCTGCAAGAATTCCTGCAGATCCAGCAAACTCCCAGTGGTGCATCAACAGTGGTGCGCATGGTTGGGAAGGCACGGAAAGCCAGAAGAGATGGCAGGACTTAGAGGGATGTCATTTGCTATGTTTTGCCAAGCATACCCCTCAGGGAAGCAAACATCAGGAGATCAATATGGTGCCCCAAAAATCTTTTTTTCCCTGAAGACTACCTTAAGACTAAGATGAAAACACAAGCCAGACACACATCTTCTAGAATCATTCTCCTTAAATTTGGCAGATTTTTTTTTTTTCTGAGAAATTGTACCAAAATATGGTAGCTGCAGTTCACAAAAAAAAAAAACAAAAAAAAAAAACCAAAACAAAAAAACCAAACAAAACAAAACAAAAAAAAAGTCCAAGGTTAGGTAAAGATTTCTTTCTACTGGTTGTTAACCCCTATCAAAAAGCATTCTAAAAATCAGACAACCTGGCATCGTCTCCACACTAAAATAGAAAGAGGCTTCTATTAGGCTGTATGTGTGTCTCTCTCCAGCATGTGGGTCAGTGACTTTCCTGTTCCTGCCTCCAGGCCTGGAGCAAAGAGTCCCAGTTTATTCGCAGCAAAGAGTCCCAGTTTCAAAAAACCTGAAAGCTAATTTCATTGGCTATCCAGAATTTCCATATGCATATGAAAGGCAAGAAAATGCTATAACAGTATATGGGCAAAAGCCCGAACTTCCATCCAGTAAATAGAGGGATAAACATTCCTTCCCGAAAGCAAACATTCATGGCTTTTTCCCATTCAACCATGCTTGAACCTTTTGTAATTTCCCTGAAGCCTGAACCCACTGTGCAATTAATTCCAGATCCCCATTTTAAACCTAATCCCTCTCAAAACAGTAACCTGCCTGCAGGTGTGTCTCCTCTTTTTAAAATATAAATGCAAAACCTTCCCCAGTTGCTTATTATATTGGAGGAATTTTAGGAACACACTACTGGAATGAACTAGTTAAATGAGGAAAACTGTCTCTTTTAAAAGGAGCGTCAATAAATCACAATATGTTGGAAACTTCTTTCGAACAAAAAAATTCTTTCAAGTAACTTAATATTATATAATTTCTGGTCCTTATGTGCATTGGTTATAAAACTGTGCCTTATAGTAGTAAAAATGATCATATTAATATACTGGGGAAGAAAAAACTCACATCTTTTTGTTCATTTACTCACAGTCCAAACTAACCAAAACCAGTGGAGCAGCCCTGTGCTTGGAAGAACAAGAAACTTGATCCTTTCTGAACACACATTTCAATTTTCCAAGAAATCTTCACTCTGTATCACTTCTCTTAACTACTTTTCAAATAATTTTATTTATACTATATACATTAATTTTAAAGACCAGACCATGCAGATATTTATTGTTAGGAATAGGCTCACTGACTCAATTTGCATGTTAAAACTGGTTTATGTTTCTTGCGAACTTAAACCTTCTGCCTTTCTTTGCTTTAATTTTTGAGGAGTATCTTTTAACATGTTGAATTAAAAAAATAAAAAAAGAAACAAGTCAAACCTTTCCCTGTTTTACTTGATGCTACTATAGTTGTATTCAATTCATTAACAAGTGGTTTGCATCCGCTGAGAAGAGCTGTCTGAAATAGCAGTGTCACAGCATTCATCATCATTACATCAGCAGTAGGGAAGTTCATACTGATTGCTATCAGCAACCAGAGTGCCCCAATCAGCGTGCAAGCAAACATAGCATGTTTAATTTTTCAGAAATGACTCTGGGTAGATAGGGTGTTCACAGGTACCACTGTGATCCACACTACTGGAAGCAGTCTTTGGGGATACAATACATCTTGAACAGCACAAC